ACTTCAAAGGTGTTATAAATATATTCAAAGACCTAAAGTAAACCATGATGAAAGAAGGAAGGTATGAAGAAAATATCTTATAACACTGGCCCAGTGTGGCTCAGTTGGGTGAGCATCATCTGTAAACTGAAAATGTCTCATCATAGAGAATATCTATAGATAGAAATCATAAAACAAGAACCAAATGGAAATACCAGAGGTGAAAAGTACAATAACTGAAATAAAAAATCCACTATAGTAGCTCGATAGTAGATTTGAAGTGGTAGAAGAATCACTGAAGCTAAAAAGGAATAGAAAAATACACTCAAAGATACATTCAAATGGCTGAAAACTTTCCACATTTGATGAAAAACCTTAATCTACACATCCAAGAAGCTCAATAAAGTCCAAGTAGGATAAATACAGAGATCCCTACCCAGACAGAGGATAACAAGAATGCTGAAAGGCAAAGACAAAGAGGAGACCTTGAAGGCAGCAAAATGACTTGCCATGCACAAGGGAACCCCAATGAGGTTAACAGGTGAATTCTCATTAAAAAAAAAAAAGAACACTAGAAAGCAGTAGGATGGCATAAAGTACTGAAAGAAAATAAAAACTTGTTAACTTATAATTTTATAATTAGGAAACCTTTGAAAAATGAAGGCAAAAAGAAAAGAAATTTTCAGCTAAACAAAAACACAGAATTGCTCTGCACCTACCCTACCCTGGCCGCAGTGGTGGAGGGCACCCAAATGCGCTTGTGACCCCAGTCACCGACCCAACTGACCCCCACCCCACTGCCACTGTAGAGCGGAGGCCAGCACACATTGGCACCACCGCTCTGGGACTGCACTCCCACTGCAGCAGCAGAGGCCGGGCTCTCACACCCACAGTCCTGGGAACAGCTCACAACCAAACTCACCGCCCAGCGGCAGCCCATCCTGCCACACAGCGGAGGCCGAGTGCTCATGCCAGCAACCCTGGGGACATAGTGTGCCAGACCCCCACCTGCCAGAGGCACCTTGTACCCAACCCCACTGCTGGGGTGCAGCATCAGAGGAGGTGCACACCTGTATCCCCTGGGGCAGCCATGGTGGTGCCCCTACCCTGCAGGGCCAACTGGTTCTCTAAGAGGAAGGTGGAGACGTTGGCGCAGAGAGCAGTAGGGCTCAGGGAGTCAGCAATCCCCAGAAAGACTTAACTCCGTGGAGGAGCCAAACTACCTTGAAGAGACTCTGAGAGTCCCTAGCATTTAGGACAGCAAAGAGCTAGAAGGTGGTGCCCCAAATTGGTGCACCTCAAGGACCGCACAACTGGTGGACAGAAGGCATAGGCTGGGCTGAAGGGCTCTGGGGCCCAGCAGTGAAATTTGGAACTGGGCTGGGGGCTGGACAACTGTGAAGAGTATGACTCAGACCTGGGCCCCATCTCCTCAAAACTGCAAGAAGGGAGAAAAGCAAAACCAATTCCCCCTTAGCTTGCTGTGGCTAGGAAGACCAGCAGAACTGGCTTGGCTTGTTTAAAGCCAGCAAGAAGCTTCTTTTTGAAATCCCTTCTTCCTTCCTTTCCTTCTTTCCTTCCTTTCATTCACTCCTTCTTCTTTCTTTCCTTTCTTTTTAAATGCCCACAGGTGAGACAATAAAACCTGGACCTGTGAAAGGACCAGAGTTAAACCCAAAGAGGGGTCATCCCAACAACCGAAGCAGTGAAACAAATTTCACTTTGCTACTCCAGAGAACTTGCAAGTTATTGTATATTTGTATTATTATTTTTTCATTATGTTTACATCTTTTATGGATATTTTTTTTCTCTTCTGTTTAGTCTTCTTCCCTTGGTTTGTAAAATTGCATTGCTTGGCTGGTTTCCCTTGCTTTCTCTTTAGTATTTTTAATTTTCTGTCTTTCACTTCACTTGTGTTCCAACAACACACCACTCTAAGTCCTGTACTTCCTATTCTTGTTTCAGATCACACAGATTCTGTCATATGATTGTTGCTCCATTACTATTATACATAATTGCTGTTCTATACAATTGTAAATACTACACAGCACTCCTCCTAGGTCTTAGCCCACTTCACTGTTTGCAGAACTTTATTACTGTTGTGGTTAACTCTATTCTCTCATACACAACACCTATTTTCTATCCATTACCCTCACTCTACCTCATAATCTGACCTCTCACAAGCTTATTGCTTTCTAGATCCAACTCACAATCCTTCCCCCCTGTAACAAGAGTCTTATCTTTTTTCCACCCTTTCTAAAAAGTGTCTAGGTGGGTGCCCTGGCTGGTGTAGCTCAGTGGATTGAGCACGGGCTGCAAACCAAAGCATCGCAGGTTCGATTCCCAGTCAGGGCACATGCCTGGGTTGCAGGCCACGGCCCCGAGTAACCTCACATTGATGTTTCTCTCTCTCTCTCTTTCTCCCTCCCTTCCCTCTCTAAAAAAATAACATACATTTTAAAAAAAAAGATGAGGAGAAGGTCTTAGAAGTTTGAGGACAGAGAAGCATACATAGCTATCCCTTGAAAAAGTTAGTGAATATGCAGGGGAAATGTAATAGATGCCAGACAGCACTAAACATACCACATAAGAATAGTGCCAAGCAGACCTGGATTGCTTTTGACATGCAAATATATTAAGAACCCTTGAGAAAGTAAATAGAAACCCAGCCACTGTAACTATAAGACTTGCTTCTTCAATTGTCCCCTTATGGCCAATAGCATTTAAATACCTGCTATCCTACAATTTTTGGAATTCCCATACATGGTTGGTCCCTGCCTAAATAGCAATTAGAAAGCCCCTCATGTGTGAGAACCTATCAAAATCTAATGCCTCCCTCTCTTACTTCATAGTGGCTGTTAAGAATTTTCCTCTAGTTCTCTCTTCCTTGGGTGTTCATAGATTCAGTCCACTCTCCTGGCTATATATCATAATTACTACTTTGGGTTGTCTTTTCCTTATAAATATAATTTCTGTTAGCAATTATTTTTTGACTAAACTCAGAAATTCTCCTGGTATCTCCTTCTAATGAGAATACTGTCAAATCATAAAAAAATTCTTGCAACATTTTCTATATAGTAAAAAAAAACACAAAAAAATAGTGGCAAGTGAGCATGCTTCTCTTTCAAAGATATGTGCATCCCAACAGGTGCTTTTCATGGATTATTTGAGTTCCCAAGCTGGTTGCAAAGTTCTAAGGACATTTCTGATCTCAACAATTAAAAATTAAATACCAATTAATAAAAAATTCTACTACTTACAAGTGCATACAATTAAAAATAGTTTACAATATTTCTGTGGTTTTAGGGAGGTTTCTTTGGAACTTGTTTTGAGACAAGAAGAAAAATAATTTGTACTGAGCAATCTTGTAAAAAATTGAATGTTTAGGAGAGATACCTTCCTCATAGTAAACTATTGTAATAAAGCCAAATAATCAGAGTGGAAAGAGACTTATATACTAGATAAAATAACCACTATCAAACCATTTGGATAATCTTATTTACTCTACTGATACTTTACCCAGGAAGAAAAATTTAATCACAATAAATGCTGCCCTACTTTTTCTCAGTCTGTAACCTGAAAATTATAGTGTGTATCAAGAGAATAAAAATATACTCAGATATGCAGACGCAATGGACTTTATAGTATTTCTTTCCCCTGAGTAGGTAATTATATTTGAAGTACATTAGGGCAGATCACTATTTTAAGGAATTCTGTGATAAATCCTTTCTGAAAGCAAATACCCTGTTAATTTTCATTTTAACAGTTTACCCTTGTATTTGAGAGATGCAGAGTTTGGTTTGACTAGAGGAAAAAAAATAGTGACCCATGTTGCCAACAGAAGAAATATGATCATCTTTAAGATGAACTGAAGTGAAAGACTATTGTAAGTAGACAACCAGGTAGTGTATCTGTCACTTTCCTACAGTTTTATTAAGAAAACTAAAATTAACATTTATTAAGTACCTTCTATTTACCTAAGTACTATGTTAGTAGTGAAATATGTGTTAAAAGAAGTAACTATTCTATTCATACTCCAGTTTAGTACTAAGACTTGAATCTATTTACATGAGGAATATCAGAAAAAAATATGTCTTGCTATGGCACTTAGATTAAAATGTCAAGTACCAATTCTTTACAATGAAATATGGTTGAATATATTCTCAGAAACAGAATGATGATTCACGTCTTCCTGCTTTGATATAACCAAGAGCAGCAATGGCTACTAATCATAGTTCCTTATACTGTTTGCTATTTCTTTGCACAATTTTTTCCCTTTGCTTGATGTTTACCTTTCTGTGATTGTAAATCAACTGCATCTTTCTAAGTATGGTATTAAGTCAAGCAAGATTTAACTATTATAGTCCTAAATTAGGACTAAATTAGGCCTATCCTATGAAATACATTAAAATCTGAATATTCTGATTGTGAGAAAAAAGAAAAATTGGCTATTAATTATTTAGATTGATATGAGAAATGATATGCCAAATGCCATTCATTTTCATAACATCCTCAAGAATGTCACATGCAGCACATGTCATACGTTCCCATTAAGTACATTACATATATTTTCTTTTTTCCAAATTTACATTTAAAATGTTTTCTCTAGATTTATATATATATATATTTTTTATTGTTGCTCAAGTATAAGTACAGTTGTCTCCATTTCCCACCCCCCTGCCACTCCCTTGAACCCCAGCATCTGGTGCAGCCATTATGGAAAACAGTATGGGATTTCCTCAGAAAACTAAAAATGGAACTGCTTTCTCTAGATTTTTAATCTATGATGCAAAAATTTTACATTTTATCTTTATCTTTTAAATTCTATAGAATACTTTCAAAGTTAGTAATTCATATTACGTAACTAAACTAAGTAAGAAATTCCTTATTACATGATAATGAGAGGGAAAAATAAAGACTAAAAGGAAGCTATTGATTAAGGAACACTGGAGATTTTGAAAGATCCATTGTGACAAATGAACACACTTTTTTAAATATCAAAGAATATCAGGTAGCTTTTATTTTGAATGTGTTTAGAGTCATAGGATCAAACTTAAGAATCACTTATAACTTACTGCTTGATCAAAATTAACATAAAATAACAACACAATATACATATCATGCATCATGAAATGTACACTTGGAACCTACATGACCCTGGAAACCAATGTCACCCCAATAAATTTAATTACAAAATTAACATAAAATATAACAAATTACATTTTAACTCAAACTGACAAACCACTTTCTAAAGAAAAACTTCCTTCTCTGTGCTATCATAGTTTTTCCCGTGGAGTATTGGCAAAGAATGTAGTTATACTGGGCCACAAATGGTTAAAAGTAACATTTTTAAGGTAATTTGAATAAAATACACACACATTACTCAAAACAAATATTAGGATTATTTTCTCTGGAAAGTTAGCTTGCAAATGAAAAGAAGAAATCCAAATCCGCATACTGTAATAGCTGTCCTCTTCAAAATTCTACTATTCCATGTAGATACTTCTTCTATTAATGGCATATGAGTTGGATCATTTTCTCTTTCATTTTGCAACTAATATTTTATATGAGAAAAAAAGAGTTAATGAACAGTATACTAAAAATAGAAATATATTTGATTTAAAAAATAAATATAATATATCCATGTTAATGCATGATTTAGACATAGCCAATGCAAGGTTCTTATGGAAGACTTAAAGTGACCACACATGCTTTAACTAGTCTTTCTTTCACCAGGATTCCACTATAGTAAATCACTAGCTTCACATTAAAACTAACTGCTCCATAGTTACTATATTTTACTATATTTTATTATCATTATTAATATTATATATTGATATCATGAAATAATGTTAAAGTCTCTATTACTACCTAAGAAATGACACATGTAATTTTTTCCTTCTGTATTAAATATCAATAGATTTCTTACAAAAAAGTTAACCATTCTTATACCTACACTATATAAAATTTAAGAAAATCTGTAAGATTTGATGCTAATACTAGAAATTTAATCCTTTATTTAAATATAGTTGCAGGAATAAACATCAATAAAATCCTAATTCGTTCTTCTAGTACTTTTCTGCAATGAAAGTACATGACCCAGTCAGTTCCTTAACTTCTACACACAGGCCTTTCTTGCTAAAGAAGGTCCCCCAACTCGTGTGTGTGCATGCCCATGAGACAGTGTAAGAGAGGAAGAGGGGGAAGGGTGGAGGGAGAGAGAGCAGGGGAGGGAGAGGAGACAGTTGTTGAGCAAGAGTAGAAGAGGGAGAATGAACAGAAACCAAAAGATCCTTGAAAGATAAAAACAATTAGGCACATTTATAGAGTGATATTTACTAGAAGCATCCTGTGCTGGAGTGGTGACAAATACTTTCATCATTAGCAAGAACAACTACTTCTAAAATCTGCAGTGTAAATATTTAATTTAAAAAGCCTGTAAAATTAATTTTAAATGTATAGTAGAAATGGACTTCAGTCTCATTAATACTGTATTCTTGGTCTAACTTCCAAATGGCTTCATTCAGCAACAGATTCCTTTTTGACACTGATGCTCCATTTACTGAATCCTGAAACAGTCATTCCTTTTAATAACCAATTACTTAGAATGACCCTTTCTGACAGGGACCTGTCAGTGTGTTGGTTTGAAAGAGAGTGATGTGGTGCTAAAGTCCAGCCTTGACCTCTTCCATCCTCTCTGTTACCTCCTCCATATACTTATGATAACTCATATGGTTCTTTTTAAAAATTCCCTTCAGTTATTATTGGTAAACTTGGAAATATCATATAGTAAACAGGCACAATACCATATTTCCAAATCTGGAAGCCTTCATAGTTTTTAAAATCAAATCTCCTATGGTGATTACTATTTATGCAAGACTAATCCAGAAAAACAATGCAGTAGCTTGCTCCAAAATTAATACTTTCCATCCCAAAGAACTGTATCTGCTATTGTTATAAGCCAATAAATGTGTTTTCAAGGCTAGTCCTCATAGAGAAATGTACAGATTCCAGGTAAAGAAGGTCACAGAAAAAGGCCTTCCATTTAGCTAAAGAAAGCTAAAGTTTTTGTTTATAGTACACATTATTAAAATAAATATGGTATCTAATTCAGTTATTTATGTTTTAGAGTGAAAATCACCCCTTAAAGCAATGTTTCTTAATTTCATTCCTTTAAGAAAAATCTGATCTCTCTAGTTTCATCTCTATCCTCCAACCCCGCCCCCAATGTGTTTTTAGTTCATCTTGAAGAAACTAAGTAATTATCAATCTGAGGAAAAGATGTTGGGGAATTCCCCACACTAAACTTTAAAGCTTGATGCTTTGCAGAAAGTATTTTTATAAAAATCCTTCCCAATTTACCATTGATCCCATATAAAAACCATACAAAGTAAAATCAATACCATTTTCCTTAAATGCTATTACATGATGCTGGGAGTGAAGATGAATAGTGCTGTAATTTTCATGTTCTCAGCAAATCAGGCTCTCCCTAGCCTGTGCAACCTAATTTGCCTGACATACAGAAGCATTCTCATGTTTGTTGAATGAACAAATGTGAGAAATAATACAATTTCTAAGATACCTTTCTCTGGAATGGAGTTATCATCTACAACAATTTTGAAATATATTGCTAATTTGCTCCATTTGAAATAACTTTACTTCCCTATTTTTTTTTGTAAAATTTGCTTCACAATTTTCTACTCACTTTTTATTTTTTAATTTTTTAATATATTTTATTGATCATGCTATTACAGTTGTCCTATTCCCCCCACTTCACTCTCCTCCACCCTGCATACCCTCTCCCACCCACATTCCCTCCCTTTAGTTCATGTCCATGTGTCATACTTACAAGTTTTTGGCTTCTACATTTCCCATACTATCTTCACCCTCCCCCTGTCTATTTTCTACTTACCATCTATGCTACTTATTCTCTGTACCTTTCCCCCTCTCTGCTCCTCCCAACTCCCCTGTTGATAACCCTCCATGTGATCTCCATTTCTATGGTTCTTTTCCTGTTCTAGTTGTTTGCTTAGTTTGTTTTTATTTTTGTTTTAGGTGTGTTTGTTAATAATTTTGAGTTTGCTGTCATTTTACTGTACATATTTTTTATCTTCTTTTCCTAGATAAGTCCCTTTAACATTTCATATAATAAAAGTTTGGTGATGATGAACTCTTTTAACTTGACCTTATCTGGGAAGCGCTTTATCTGCCCTTCCATTCTAAATGAAAACCTTGCTGGATAGAGCAACTTTGGATGTAGGTCCTTGCCTTTCATGACTCAGAATACTTCTTTCCAGTCCCTTCTTGCCTGTAAGATCTCTTTTGAAAAATCAGCTGACAGTCTGATGGGAGCTTCTTTGTAGGTTACTTTCTCATTTAGTCTTGCTGCTCTTAAGATTATCTCCTTATCTTTGACCTTGGGTAATGTAATTATGATGTGCCTTGGTGTGTTCCTTCTTGGGTCCAACTTCTTTGGGACTCTCTGGGCTTCTTGGACTTCCTGGAAGTCTATCTCCTTTGCCAGATTGGGGAAGTTCTCCTTTATTATTTGTTCAAGTAACTTTTCCACTTGTTGCTCTTCCTCTTCTCCTCCTGGTACCCCTATGATTCGGATGTTGGAATGTCTGAAGATGTCCTGGAGGTTCCTATGCCTCTTCTCATTTTTTTGAATTGTTTCTTCATTCTTTTGTGATTGGATATTTCCGTCTTTCTTCTGGTCTACTCCATTGATATGAGTCCCAGTTTCCTTCCCATCATTATTGGTTCCCTGTACATTTTCCTTTATTTCACTTAGTGTAGCTTTCATTTTTTTTCATCTAATTTGCAACCAAATTCAAGCAATTCTGTGAGCATCTGATTACCAGTGTTTTGAACTGTGCATCTGATAGGTTGGCTATTTCTTCATCATTTAGTTGTATTCTTTCTGGAGCTTTTATCTGTTCTTTTATTTGGCCCATATTTTTTGTCTTGGCCCACCTGTTACTTATGAGGGGAGGAGCCTTAGGTCTTTACCAGGGCAGGGCAACCCAGTCGCTGGATTGTGATGCTGTATGTAGGGGTGTTGGCCAAGAGGAAACAATGCTCCACTCTCTGTCGGCTTCAGTCACCTCCTCCGCTTCCCACAAGCAAATTGGGCCCTTCTGGTGCTGATTCCCTTGTAGGTGGATTTGTGTATGTCCTGGGATCCTGTGGATCTGTCCAATGAACTCTCCTGTGAGGCTGGGAGTTTCTCCCAGAACCTCAACTCCCACAGGTGTTTTCAATCAGTGTTTTGAGGCTTTATTTCCCTGCGCTGGCACCCTGGGTTGAGTGGTCCATCTGGCTCCCCAGTCTTGCCTGGTTTATCTGCTCGAGAATGTGGGACTGCCCAGTCTACCAGCTGCCTTGCACCCCTCCACAATATGCAGCCTCGCTGGGTCTACCAGCCGCCCCGCCTACCGGTCTGGATGAATGTGTCTACTTTAACTCCTTGGTTGTCAGACTTCCATACAGTTCAATTTTCTGTCAGTACTGGTTGTTTTTTTTGTTCTTGTCCTTATTTTGGTTGTGCAAGGAAGCACAGCATGTCTTCCTATGCCTCCATCTTGGCCGGAAGTCTTCTACTCACTTTTTAAAAAGACTACTTTTGACTGGAATATCTGTTAATAGCTAGAATGAAAAATTACCTAGAACATGTATAAAATTTATTTTGAGGAAAATTTTTTGTTGAAAAGAATGAAATATTAAATAATTTATGGGTTGATGCTATAAAAATTTAATGCATAATCTAATGTTCACATCATATATTTTAAAAACTTTATGTATACTAAGTTTATTTATAAATATTCTTAGAAAACTCAGAAGTAAGTTCTTCAGTCAGGTGAACATGGTTTCATTTTATTACTTATCTTCAAAAGAGTTCCTTATTTCAGGACCTTAGATTTTGTTACAGCCTATTTTTATTTATTTATTTATTTATTTATTTATTTATTTATTTATTTATTTATTTATATTTTAATTGTTCAAGTATAGTTTTCTGCCTTTTATCCCCATCCCAGTCTACGCCCTAGCCCTCCTCACCTCCCTCCTGTTTCTACTGCACTCGTTATTGTCCATGTGTCCTTCGTATTTGTTCCTGCAAACCCCCTTTTCCCCTGAAATTCTCTCTCCGCTCCCCTCTGGTCACTGTCAGCCTGTTCTCAACTTCAGTGTCTTTGGTTATATTTTGCTTATTTGTTTTTTTTGTCGATTAGGTTCCTGTTAAAGGAGAGATCATATGGTATTTGTCTTTCACTGCCTGGCTTATTTTGCTTAGCATAATGCTTTCTAGTTCCATCCATGCTGTCACAAAGGGTAGGAGCTCCTTCTTTTCTTAAAGGGGAAAAAAGTCACCTGTCTTTGAAGCCAGATGTATACTTGTATGTGCATATGGAAACAAGAATTTAAAAAGCCCATGTTTTTTTTAAAAAGTTATATTACAAAAGATATTATAGAAAATTTAAAAAATAGAATATTTTATCCATAATCCTACCTCATTAACACAGCACATTAATAAACTTTCATTTTGGTAGTATTTTACCAGCACAATTACAAGGTAAAACCTACAAATATAACTTAGTATCTTTAAACAAGTTGATAGTTGATTTTCATTATTTTCTCATCTGGCTGCATATCATTATAGTAAAAAAAGGGTACCATAATTTATTTAGTCATTCTGCTAGTATAGGATATTTATGGTACATACAATTTTGAAATCATTTAACTACTATTGAAAGATACAAATATTTTTATGGTTCTTGGCAGACCTTGTCAAACGGTTTCTGAAAGGGGTTGTGACAGTTGTCTCATGGGAGAATATCAATTTGGTGAACCATAATCAGAGATGGGTAGAGATACATTTATCCCTGCTAACATAAAAGATGAAAATGATATATCATTGCTCTTCTCACATGCATTTCTTTGACAACTGACAGTTTATTTGCTATGTATATTTCTTCCATTGGAAACTGTCCTCTTTCCAATAGTTTAGTGGGAGCTTAAGTTGCTCTTGTCAGAATTACTTCATTGTCTAATACACTAGGCTGCAAATCATTTCCCCCCTTTTGATGTTAAATACATACCTTCTGAATTAAGTCTTTTAGTTTGCAGACCTCTTCACTCAAATCTTCAACACTACTAACCAGTTCCTCACAAACTGAAGTAAAACTCTGGGGAGAAGCCCATTCAAGTACTATCTGTTAAAATTTTCAAAAGTTACAATTTAAAGAATGGAAAACAACTTTCAAACTTTAAGTCCACAAAAATTAGACATTAAATTATTTAACTAAAAAGTATTTTTTGTTCAGGATAAATCCTGACACCAAAACGAAGTTAGTAAATTTATATAAATAGTCAAATCAGTTTCCTAAATGCACTTACTAAATATATATAGTGTATATATATATATATAACTTTATGTTATATAACTTTATGTTATATAACTTTATAACTAATATTGGAAACCAATATTAGTAATAATTATAGCAAAAAATAAATTCATAAAAGTTTAAGAATGACATGATTCCCATGTCAGTGTTACATAAAAATCACAGGAAAACAAGTACATTAAATTTTTGTTCACTATAAACAAATAGCTAAAGCCAAATCACATGAAAAACTCTCCAAAATAAGTTTGCATTTATGAATTACTTACATTTTCTCTAATTACAACTTCTGCCCTCCTCCCACATCAAAATTACAACTAACCTACAAAATAACCATCATTCATGGCCACCTGAAATCTGGCAGAATGGAAGTCCTACAACTAGGGAATTAAAGAAGTCACATTGAAACTGGCAGGAGAAATGGAGATGCAGAACCAGCTGGTTCCATACCCACTTCAGGTGGACAAAAATCAGGAAGGGTTGCTGGTTCCATACCCACTTCAGGTGGACAAAAAGCTACAGAGGTCCCTCCTGAGAGCAAAGCATCCTACCTCAAACCAGGCCCCCAGCCCAGGGTTCTGGCTGTAAAAACCAGTAGAGATTGAGGCTTAGAGAAACAGAAGGATTCTGGAGCCCCAGGTAGTCCTTCTAAACAGTCCATTTACAGACTTACTCAGACATACTACCTTTGAGTCCCAGTGCTGGGGCAGCAGCTTGAAAGGTACCAGAGATGTATGACAAACTGAACTGTCTGGCATCAGGACGAGAACTGTAGGGTCAGCTTTCTCCCAGAGGAAGTGCTGGTAGAGGCCACTGTTCCTTTAATAATCCTTCCTTCACACAGAGGCAAGCAGGTGCCATATCTGAGACTCCATCAACTTGGCTAACACTGTTTGCCCTGCCCCAGTGATTCCCTGAGGCTCTGCCCCGCCTAAATTTGGGGCCCACCCAAGTGGGAATCCACACTGTATACAGTGGCTTTTCCATATGAATATCCTGTCTTGGCTCATGCTTCAGACTGTCCTAAAATCTCTCAAACAATTAGCATCTGGCCTCAGCACACCTGTACCTCTCCCTAAGAGGCCCTGGGCCTAGTACTAGCATTAGCTGGTCTTGATTGACTGCCTGGCCTCACCTCCAAATCCAGCACAAGTAGCAGCCATCTGCAGATTGCTTTGCAGCTCATTGTGGGTGGCCCAGACCAGACACAAGCAGTGACTGACCTTGGCCTGCACTTCCCAGGAATCCTCAGAACCAGCACACTTAGGGACAGCTTCGGACCACATCAAAGCACCACCACCCTACCACCTCCACAGACGACATGCTCCAGGGGTGGACTCAGCAGGCACCAGAGCCTTGCTGAAGTCAATCCTGCTCTGTGGGGTGAGCCCCTGTACAGCTGATTCTCTATGGTGGTTAGAGGTCAGTGGTTGCAACCTGTTCTTGCAACTGATTGACCTGGGGGTAAATTCCTCCCATTGACATGCTAACAGCAATAAAGGCTCAGCTATAAGAGTAAAGTGTACACAGCCCACACAGGGGGTACAACTTGAGTACCCAGCTTGGGTGATGGGGAAGGCTGTGCCATTGGATCCAAGGGAACACCTAATATGTTGAGCCATGCTACCAAGCCTTGGAAACATAGCAGCTCTACTTAATACATAGAAACAAACACAGGGAGGCTACAAAGACAAGGAGACAAAGAACCATATCCCAAACAAAAGAACAGAACAAAACTCCAGAGAAAGAACTAAACAAAATGGAGACAAGCAATCTAATAGATGAAGAGATCAAAACATTGGTTTATAAGAATGCTCAATGAACTCAGTGAAGGCTTCAACAACATAAAAAAAGACCAGTCAGATACAAAGGATACACTAATTGAAATGAAGAATAATTTGAAGGGATCCAACAGTAGAGTAGTAGATGAAGCCAAGAATCAAATCAGTAATTTGGAATACAAGAAAGCAAGAAACACCCAATCAGAACAACAAAAGAAAAAGTAATCCAAAAAATGGGGGACAGTGTAAGACTTTGGGACACTACAAGCATACCAACATTCACATCATAGGGGTCTAGGAAGGAGGAGAGATAGCAAGAAATTGAAAACTTATTTGAAAAATAATGACAAAAAACTTCCCTAACTTGGTGAAGAAAACAGACATACAAGTCTAGGAACTGCAGAGAATCCCAAACAAGATGAACCCCAAAAGGCCCACATCAAGACACATCATAATTAAAATTTCAAAGGTTAAAGATGAAGATAAAGAGAGAAGCTGAAAACTAGCAAGACAAAAGCAGTTAGTTACCTACAAGGGAGATCCCATAAAACTGTCAGCTAATTTCTCAACAAAAACTTTGCAGGTTAGAAGGGACTGGCAAAAAATATCCAAAGTGATAAAAAGCAAGGACCTAAAATCAAGATTACTCAACACAGCAAAGCTACTGTTTAAAATTGAAGGACAGATAAAGATCTTCCCAGACAAGAAAAACCTAGAGTTCATCACCCCCAAACCATCATCAATGAAATGTTAAAGAATCTTCTTTAAGAAGAAAAAAATAAAAATATGAACAATGAAATGGTGATAAATATATACCTATCAACAAGTGAATCTAAAAAAAATGAATATGCAGAACAGAAACAGACTCATAGATAGAGAATATTTTGTCAGTTGCCAGATGGAATGGGTGTTGGGGCTATGGTAACATGGTGAGGAGATTAAGAAGTATAAAGTGGTTGCTACAGAATAGTCATGGGGATGTAAAGTACAGAATAGGAATTATAGTCAATAATATGGTGATAACTATGTATGGTGTCAGATGGGTGTGAGATTTATATAGATGATGACTTAGTAGGTTATGCAATGTCTAATCACTGGGGTGTACACCTGAAACTAATAAAATAATGTATGTCAAATGTAATTGAAATATAAAAAATGATTTAAAAACCAAAATAAAATTTTCTTTATTAAAAAACCTTCTATTGATAGGGCTTTTAATAACATTCAACCCTCTGGTTTGTTTCAACTTTCACTTGGGTTTCCTGTCACTTTTTATTTTAAACAATTTCCCTTAAGAACAAATGGTAAGTTCAATACACTGATCAATTTAATTTTTAGTCTGACTTTCCTTTTATTGAGGGTGAGAAGACATTTTTTAAAATTAATTAGTATATAAAGGAATGATATTAAACATATTTACTTATTTAAAGATTATACAACTTTGTAAAGAAAAATATAATTTTACCAGATCACTATTGTTTACTGAATTATCACTGACTATCCAGAATATTCTTTAGCATTCATATTTTTCTTCACTTAGGAACTTTTGTACAATACCTTGTGAGAATTTACAGGCAGCTCAGTAATGATATTCTGTACTGCTGTTATTAAATGGCCACATTGTTTGTTCAGTTTCAGAAGAAAGTTGAGGAACTCATCACCACTTAAAGAGAGGAAACAAACAGAAATCACTCATAGGAACCATTTACTTCATTCTACTGGGCTACTCAATGTGTACTCATAACATTTATTAGATTCTCTAAAATGTATTTATAGAATAGCTAATGGGCATCAGCATCTGAAATAGACATTGAGTATACAAAGTAAACAAAATTTCTGATCTTGAGCATCTCCAAGTTGGGAATGTGGTGCAAACACACAATTGTACTGTAATGCCGTTATTCACAGAGTCATATGAGGAAAGAATATAAAAGTACTGATTTTGAGTACTTTTTAATTTATGTTTTCATCACCATTTATCCCCCTATACCCTCTTCCACCTCCATCCATCCCCTTTCCCCCCTGCAATCATCACACTGTTGTCTGTGTTCATGAGTTCTTCTCTTTTTCATTTTTTGTTCAATTCCTCAAAAGACACTGCACTAGTTATTTTACATTTAATTCCTCCTGACAATTCCTTTAAGATTGATGTTGATAACCTAAGTTTATAGTTGAGGCATCAAAAACTCAGAAATAATTAGTTTATTTAATATAATGGGACTAGGGATTCATAGTGCTTCATGGAGATGATAACTTAGGATCTGAGTCTGGAGTTTTAGAATAATTTTGCTAGATAGTTAAGGAAGAGAAAGAATTCTGGATGGAGAGAATAATAGGTTCAAAAGTATGGAAGCAAGAGGTCACCAAGATATAACTAAAGCAAAATTATAGCAAAGTAGTAAGAAAGGAGGATTGACATACCATTTATTTAAGGAGCTTTTGTGACATGCTATGGAACTAAATTTTATCTTTTTGATAATGTAAAGTTATTATAGAGGTTTAAACAGAAAAGTAGAATATCAGATTTTTGTATAAGAACGCTTATTTGAGGAGTGGTATGGATTAAAGGAACACAAAAGTGAAAGTAGAAAAAATAATTAGGAGACTAATGGAAACATCCATCTAAGACAGAGATAAGCAATTTTCAACCAGTATGTAGCAAGAATTTTTAAAACATGTAATACCTGACTATTTAGTCAGGGACACTCATCTCTTTTCTCTTAGATTGTCAAATTAAAAAAATGACATCAACACAACAGTCATCTAGTGCAAATAAATCAAAATTATACCTACTTTTTGTAAGATTGGAAAAACATATATTTTTGGTATGCTGCAGAATTTTAGTAATTAGTTTATGTGTACTATGAGATGGAAATGGTTGAAAATCACTGATTTAAGATATGATAAAGAAAAGCTTGAACTAAGTATCTGGCAGTGCTAGTTTGGGGGAAGGGGTAGAATGTTGTTTTAAGAAACATTTTGAAAAATAAGCTGAAAAACTTGGTGATGTGTTACACATAAATGAAAAGGAAGAGCCTAGGATGATTTTGTTGTTTCATTTTAATGGGCATTGGTACCACCAAGTAGAATCCTGGAGTGGGTGGTAGGGAAGAAAGTAGGGTAAATATAAACCATTATGACATAATAATTAAGAACAAAGACTCTAGAGTCAGGAAGACCTGAATCTGAATTCAGCTTCCACATTCATGTTCTTGGGCAAGCCTGATTTTTAGCTAAATGTTTCCATATCTCTGAAATTGAGATAATAAGACAGTAAGGAAGACTGGAGGATATATGCATAATGTATGAAAAGCACCTAGCATTTTGTCTAGTATATAGGTGGCATTCAAATAAACTTAATTATGATGATAATGTCAATGATATGATATATGTAGGTGGAAATGACCAGTAAGCAATAGAAAATGTCAGTCTTGTAGACTTACAAATGTCAGACTTACCCTAAAATCCACAAATTCATAAGGCTAGATAGAACTCAGGGAGCTGGTACACTTAGAAAAATTACATCTTTATTTTCACTAATATAATAGAAATTCAGTCTTTCCTTCAATTTTGAATGAAAGCACAGTAGTATTAGAGGCATCTGTAATTTTGTCACCAATAGGAATCAAAACTATGATCATGGAGAAGATATAAAAGAAAAATAATACATATTGTGAAGAGGGGCAAACTGACAGGAGTAGAAGAAAAAAGCTATCAAAAGAGAAGTAGCCTGAAAAGAGGAAAATCAGGAATTAAGGTCTATTCATAATAGACCTTAATAGCAATGAAGGGTATGAATTCAAGAATGAGGAAAAGGTCAAGCATGTTAAATAATTAAGATTAATCCACTGATTCTGGCAATGAAGAGACAGTGTGATTAGATTTGTTTCAGTGACAGAAACCAATTTACAAAAACTACACAGAAACCTACACAACCTAATACAAAATTGTACCATGGCTATGAATAGATAATTCAAAGAAAGTGAGAAAATAAAATTTAAATGTATGATAAATATGGGATTACAATAAAGTAAGATGTTACCTTCTAGTGGAATGAGAAAAATTATTATTAATATCAAGAGGTGACAAGTACTTTTCTGTAGTTATTTAGCAGTATCTACTATAATAAAAATGCACACAAAAACTACCACTATGGGACCAAAAGGTACTTATGAGTCCAAAAAAATTCCTATAAGGCAGAAGTTTTAACTATATACTATACAAAGTTTCATTCATGCTGTTTCTAGGGAAAAAAAAAGGTTATAAAAAGAAAGCATGGTCTGCTACCAATGAAACTTAACAGCAAACTTTTCTCCAAGACACATTGCTAAAATTTACATAGTATTTTAATTTAAAATAAGTCTTTTATTCTTAACTGTTAGATTGAAAAATAGTTTATATAGAGTACTTTAAACTTTATGAGCAAAATAACACACTTGATTAGATGGATTTAATTGATATCTTCAGAGCATTTCATCCCAAACCAGCAGGATATACCTACTTTTCAAGGTCATGTGGAAGAATATTTTCTAAGATAGACCACATGTTAGGGCACAAAATTAGTCTCAATAAATTTAAGAAGACTGAAATCATATCAAGCATATCTAACTTCAATGGTATGAAACTAGAAATCACTAACAAGAAAAAACTGAATAACACACAAAGACATGGAATCTAAATAACATGTACTAAACAATGAATGGGTTAACAATAATATCAAGGAAGAAATCATAAGTTACCTTGACACAAACTGAGTCTGAAAATGAAAATACAACAACCCAAAAATCTATGGCACACAGCAAGAGCATTCCCAAGAGCGAAACTCATCATTACAGACCTACCTCAAGAAACAAGAAAAATATTAAATAAACAATCTAATCTTACAATCAAAGGAACTAGGAAAAAAACAACAAAGCTCAAAGTGAGTAGAAAAAGGAAATAATAACAATTAGAGCAGAAATATACAAAATAGAGTAAGAAAAACAATACAGAAGATCAATGAAACCAAGAGCTGTATTTTTTTGAAAAGATAAACAAGATAGGTAAGCTTTCAACTAGACTTATCAAGAAAAAGAGAGGACTAAAATAAATAACATAAGAAAAGAAAGAAGTAACAGCTGACACCTCAGAAATATAAAGGATTATAAGAAAATGTTACAAACAAGTATAAGACAACAAATTGGACAGTCTCCAAGAAATGGATAAATTTCTAGTAACATATAATTTCCCCAAACTCAATCAAGAAGAAACAGAAAATCTGAACAGGCTAACTGCAAATAATGAAATTAAAGCAGTAAACATAAACTTCCACAAAACAAAAGCCCTGGGCCAGATGGCTTCACAGGTGAATTTTACCAAACTTTCCAGCAGAACCAATAGCCTAGAGCTGAAAGCAACCTAAGTTCCCAGCAGTAAATGAATGGATCAAAAAACTATGATACATTTACACAATGGAATACTATGCAGCAGAGAGAAATAAGGAGCTCCTACCCTTTGAGACAACATGGATGGAACTGGAGAGCATTATGTTAAGTGAAATAAGTCAGGAAGTGAAAGACAAATACTATATGATCTCACCTTTAAGTGGAACCTGATAAACAAAACAAACAAGCAAGCAAAATGTAACCACAGACATTTAAATTAATAACAATATGAGAGTAACCAGAGGGGAGGTGGGAGGGGATAATGGGGGGAAAGGGGGAAAGGGTTTTCAGGAACAACTATAAAGGACACATGGACAAAACCAAGGGGGCGTGGAATCAGGGTGGGAAGGTGAGGATGGTTGGGGTGGTGGTGGGGAATGGTGGGGGGGTAAATGCAGACAACTGTACTTGAACAACAATAAAATTATTTTTAAAATATCTGAGATATAAATATTTAATAAGGATAAAGTATTGCAGCATAAAAAAAGAAGAACCAACACCTATCCTTCTCAAACTATGCCAAAAAATTCAAGAACAGCAAAGACTGCCAAACTCATTTTACAAGGTCAGTATTATACTAATTCCAAAGCCAGTAAATAGTACAATGGAAAAAAATTATAGACCAATATCCCTGATGAAAAAAGATGCAAAATGGATCTAGCAATACATTAAAAAAATCATATACTATGATACAGTGAGACTTAGGCTGGTACAATATCCAAATCAATTTCTGTGATGCACCACATAAAGAAAATGAAGGATAAAAATCATGTGATCATATCAATAGATAAGGAAAAACCATTTGACAAAATCGACCACTATTCACAATAAAAAGTCTCAGCAAGATGGGAATAGATGGAACACAAACATCAACATAATAAAGATCATATACGACAAACCCACAGCTAACAGCACACTCAATGGAGGGAAACTAAAGGCATTTCCCTAAGATCAGAAAAAAGAAAGGGACGTCCACTTTCATTACTCCTATAGTACTGGAAGTCCTAGCCACAGCAATCAGACAAGAAGAAGAAATAAAAGGCATCCAAATGGGAAAGGAAGAAGTAAAACTGTCCTTATTTGCAGATAATGTATATACTGTATAGTATATATAGTATACTATATACTGTATACTGTAAAGAGCCCTAAAGATTTCACCAAATAACTATACAACTGATAAATACAATTAAGTAAAGTAGCAGGATACACAACAAATATTCAGGAATCAGTTGTGTTTTTA